TACTTGCTAACTGGTATGAACCATGTTAGGGCACTTGCACAAGCATACACGTGGCTAAGATTATTGGATAGGAGGCTCTTTGAGATTTCTGAGTATAGACGTACATCCTTGTTATTTGCCTTCCATGTGAGAATGACTCTTTTGGGGCACGTGAGTTGTCAGTATGATTAGGAGGTGTGTCGAGGGCACAGGATGCCAAGTGTTAGGGGTCAGGTATGGAGACCCGTATTGTATGATTATTTTGAAATGTCACAGGGTGACTTAAATTCGATCAATATTTGTTGAAAAGATTATATTCGAAAAGCATTATTTGAAAAGAACTCCTTTGAAAAGAACAATTATTTGAAGGAAGTACATTTCAAACCATTTTTATCACTTGAAGGGTTCGACTATTGGATTGATGCTTACTGGTTAAGACTTAAGGTAAAAACTATCGGGGTTGTTGAGTTATAACTTGTCTTTACTGTATATTGTGATTTCGGATTTGGGTTGTATTCTCGCTTACCCTTCCGTGTTTTTTTCCTTATGGTGTTCCGCTGAGTACTTGTTGTTTCCTTTCCTTATTGCATCTATTATATTGTTAGCCGCATCGCGTAGTCTCTATATAAATATCATGTTCTGTTTATTAGACCAGTAGGTGTCTGGACTGTTCCTCGTCACTACTCCGCCGAGGTTAGTCTTGATACTTACTGGGCACTGCCGTGGTGTGCTCATACTACACTTCTACACATTTTTGTTATGCAGCTCCAGGTATTGTTCGCAAGTAGCTGTGCGAATTCTTGTCGAGGAGACTCAAGGTAGCCCTGCTACTGCGTTCGCAGGCTTCGGAGTCACCTTCCTATTTTATATTTACATTGTTGTACTTATTTCCATACAATTGTGTTTAGAAGTTGTAGCGAAACTCTGTAGAGCTTATGACTTGTACTACTGGGTTTTGAGAAGATGTTCATTGTATAAAGGATTCTTTTCGGAAGAATTTTAGATGTTATCATTTATTGTCGTTATTCCGCAATTATTAGGCTTACCTAGTCCTTAAGACTAGGTGCCATTACGAAACCCAACGGAGGGGAACTTGGGTCATGACAGAACATATGGGAGACCAATTGGATTCCCAATATAGGAAATCTTAGAAATACAGTAGAAGACCCCCTTTTGAATACTGATTATTCCATAAAAATAAAGGACATCTTTGATGGAAAAAATGGAACTTTAATGAAATTTCTCTTAACATCCCTAATGACATTAAGGAGAACATCTCTAAGGTAAGAATTTGTCTAAAGGGACCAACTAGTGACATTCCAATATGGTCTCTAACTACAAAAGGAATATTTATGACCAAAACTTGCTACAATCTGATGGAACCTCCAATGGATACCAAATAGATTTCAAATGGATTTGGAATTTAACCTGTCCTAATAAAATCAAATTCTTTTTATGGCAATGTCTCCATAATAGGATACCATGTAGAAAATACCTGGCAGGAATTGGTTTAAACATTGATCCAAATTGCCCTGTATGCAAATGCAAAGAAGAGGAATCCATAACCCATATTTTCTTTAACTGCAAAGTCACTAAACCGTTTTGGGACAGTATTGGGTGGCAAAATTTCTATAGAGCTCAAGATGAACACTGGCTTCTTCAATTAAAAGCTTTTGACTACCCACTAAAGAACAAATTTAAAAATTGGATTTCTTTCTTTCCATTTTTCATTTGGTACATTTGGATTAATAGAAATAACAACAATCAAAACAATACTGAAAATCCTATAAATGGTGACCGTATTATTCAAAGGGCTACTTAGTTTAAACTTCTCAGTAAAAAAAGTATTAACTCTCCTCAAAAAAACCCCATTAAAGTTAGATGGCACAAACCCCAAAAGGATGATTTAAACTAAATATAGATGCTAGTTTCAATAGTAATAACCAAAAATGTGGCCTAGGAGGTGTATTCAGGAATGCCAATGGAAATTGGGTAGTTGGTTTTGCAAAATCAACTCATGTTAGCGGATCATTACAAGCAAAAATCAAGGCACTCCTTGAGGAACTCAAAACAGCACAAGCATGGGGAATGTTCCCTCTTGAAATAGAGACAGACTCAATGGAGGTAATCCAGTCTATCCAACAAGGCAACATATTATATGATGACATTGTTAATAAATGCAGGTTGTTAATGCACCAGCAGAAGGAGATAACCCTCCAGCACGCATTCAGGCAAGGGAATAATATAGCCCATCAAATGCCAAAGAAGGCTGCTGATCTAACAAAGGGGAAAAGACATTTTGTTGAACCGCCATCTTATGTAAAATGTTTTGTGGAAAGTGAACTAGTAGAACACTATGTTTTTGTGAAGTTTCTATCTTATGATGTTTGCAATACCCTAGCAAGTTTAGGCAATCAAAGTGTCCTTAGTGACACAAAGTATGAAAGTCATGTACTAAACGCTACATAGTTTTTAATATATATATTTTTTGTTTGCTCAAAAAAAAAGGTCATATTTGTCACCTCATTGTTGTGATGTTGTTTCTTCTTTACTAATGACGTTATAACACCATTCATCCTTATGTGGCTAGACAATGTCAAAGCATTCTACAAGCAAACTTTCAAGCATTTAATTTGTTTTTACCATATTTTTTGTTTGATATTTAAAGGAAGAAGCAAAGTTTGGGATCTACGGCAAGGAAGGGTTTGTCTACTAAAGTAAGTAACTTGTTCATGTAATGTTTTCATCTTTTTTTACCTTTTTCTTTATTTGGTGTATAATTTTTGGACTGTATATGTAAAACTTTCTAGGTCTATTTTAATTCGGGTCACTCAAAAATATTGTAGCAATTATGGTACTATAATTATTCATTGAGTGTTACCTGGTATAATTATATATTTTTTTTAAATTTGGTTCTCAATTTCTATGTATGTATTCGTACTGACATTTCAGAATAAAAGCTTAGCGGGTGATATTTCATGTATGGCTATGTGAGTAAGATTTTGCTCTCGATTATTAGTCAAAATTAAATTTTTAATGGAAGTTAGATTCTAGAGGAATATCTTGCTTTATACGGGGCTAAATATTTGAATGTAGTAGGAGCTTCTCTAACAAAAACCAACAAAGAAAGAACAAAAATGAGTTTTAAAAAAATGCATCATTTCATGTCAGAAAATGAACGATATGTGTGCAATTTCTTTCTAAAATAAAATTCATGGTTAAATAATTTCTGAAATATATTTTCTAACATGAATAACTATATACTATAGTATAAAAAGGATATTTTATGTTTTCTGCAAGAGCTATGATAATGACAAAGTAAACCGAGATGATATGATAAAACATATACCAACATTAAATGTTTGTATATCATCAAATAAAACTAATGTAATTATACATAAAATAATTAGTGTTCTAGTGGTAACTTCTCGTAAAATTTAGTTTATAATTCTGTTTCCAACAAAAGCTACTATTTAAAATATACTTGTGATCACAATTATTTCCATACATATTTTGTGAAAATTGATATGGAATACACGTGCAACGCACGTGTCCATAGACTAGTATATAGATAGATATACTGACACACACGCACACTTATGCTCTAGAAATTATGAGAAGATTTAAAAAAAAAAAAAATATAGTTATTATCATTATCGTTAGATTTTGAATTTTTAGGGGCTTAAACTAAGACTAACAGATTTGTCTATCCTACAATATGTAGCAAAGCAACAAATGTCCAAAAGCGGAGATATATACAACATCAACAAGATATTTTAATCATAAACATACACGAAAATTGTTACCTTTAAATAAAAATTTAAACCTTAAGATTTATATTGATTATGTCCTTTAGATGTCTACGTTAATCTTATTTCTAAATAAAAATAGAACCTTGCATTTTAATGGTAGAAACCAGCAAAGTAAAGCCATGTGAGTTGAAACATAGGGGATTAGATTTGCTTATTTAATGTGTTGATACGAGTTTTAAGAAAATCTCTTATATATATGACACATGGTACATTAATTTGGGATTCACAATGAATACAAGATTGAAAAATGTGCTAGCGGATTTAAAATTTATCTTGGTTATAATTTGAATTCACTCAATTGTTTTTAATCAAGAGAACTAATATATTTGGTGAAAATATATGAACATAATGCTAATTGTCCTTTTTAATCAAATATATTATTTTTCGACCTTAAGTTTGGGCCCTGGCTCAGCATGGACTTACTGAGACTTATTTCTTGCTAAACCATAACGTAAAAGGATAAGCTAAGTTCTACAAATAAGACAGCTACATAGAAAAGGAAAAAAAAAAAGTAAAGAAGAATAACTTCATGCTGACTTTCAAACTCCTTTAGTTCAAATTCAAAATGCTCAGGTTGTTTTCAAGTGATTCTTTTTTTTTTCTTACGTAAGGAGACCAAAAAGATTAAAAAAAGGAAATACACACATATCTACAAAAAGTTTTATGTTGTGTCTCACGCAACTGTCATGCATATATCTTACAAATTTGTTGACCTATATATTGTACTTTTGAGTTCACAAAATTCGGATTCATAAAATTGTGAGACAAAAAAGAGACCTCACACAACTAGAGTCAGTTATGTGAAGCATAAAATATTTTTTTTTTTAAATCTATATTCTGAAAGACTCACATTTATATAATTATTACCACAATCGTAATCTTATTGTTTATCGCCGAAGGAAAAAGGAAAGAAGAGCGCAGACCAATTAAGTTAGGTTAGATATTTTTACTTTAAAGATTAGAAGTGAATCAGAACAGGAGTGCAGAAAAGATTTTACCTAACTACTTAGGTATTTATTTAAAGATCAGAAGAAATCAAAGTGGAAGCGCTAGAGAAGATTTTACCTAATAATTCTTTTAATTTTCTTTCTTAAATAGAATGACAAATATCTGTAAAATCAAAATAAAATGATCAACTGCAACTGCAAGCTTGTAGCTAAAATTCAACTAACAAAACCTAACTAGGAAACAGGAAATAATACTTTTACGGCTCATCAAAAATATATATGGACCAAAAAAGTGATGAAAGACAAAAAAGAGTAGTTCAAGATAACACAAATCCACATTAACCGCTTTCCTTTCCGAATAAATAACCCATATATTCTCTCCTCTCTCGTTTTTCATATTCACCAAATCTCCAAACCCTAATCTGAAGCAATCACCGATACCCTTTTCAATTTATTATCTCAAATTTGCTTCTGAAATTCGCCGTTTCTTCCAGTCGGATACGGAGTGTTTCCATCTCTCTTTCGTTGCTATATTCCGGTAATTTTCTTTTTCTTCTTCTTAAAAATATTTCATATCCTATTTTTTTTACGATTTTTGAGGATCTATGTGATCCGTAGCTTTGATGAGGGTTTTTTCTTGCAAAATTGGTGCTTCTTTTAATATTTTTGGTACGTGCGTGAAAATTATTGGTATTACTCAGAGTATTCAGGATTACTTGCTTGGATTAGTTGGTGGATGGTAATATTTGTTTCTTTATATTTTGATGTAGAGTGAAGTGTTATTTTTTCCCTCAAAATAAATACAGATGATGGATCGTTGTCTATTGGGTCGATTTTGAAAATAAAAAAATTCATCGATGCCATGTTTTTCAGTGTTATGAATGTTAAATTTGATGCAAATCTATTGTAGTTCTATTCGAGCCTGGTTTCAGATAGGATGTAAAGATTCAGTAATCGTCCTTTGCAGGCTGATGGACATAGTTTCGGATCAGTTAATGGATTTTGGACTTAGTTTTTTGTTCTGTTTGGTTGTCCTTAAAAGCTATGTAAATTTTAGCATGAAATTTTGTCTTCAAATATTTTTTATGCATTAGGCTTTTAGAGAATAGAGCTTCATGTTAGTTCATTGAGTGTACGAGATTGAATGTCTGTTTATATGTTAAGGGAGATTGATGCAATACCATGTTGTAGTGTTTCTGGAGCTATTCATTTCATTTTGCTGAGTTTTAATTTGTACTGATCTTTATTTTTTAATTGAACAGGGATTATGGCTCTTGCGCAGACTTACTATTCACAAGGTGGCCCTTTTCGTGGAGACTCTAGGTCGTTTTATGGTAGGAACCAGATTAGTGGAACACATTCCTCTGCTAACAACCATTATGATACTGTTGTTAGTCATCTTTTTAGCTCCAATGGTTCCCATGACTTGAGTAGAAATTTTAGCGAGTATAGCTATGGCTATGATAATTTCGTAAAGCCTGAGGCTGAACCTTCTTTGAAGAGGAGGAAGTGTTCAGCTTCTGGTTGGGAAAGCAATGGCAGGTACTCCCAAGCAATCGATGCATGTAAAGATGCTCCTTCAAAGCAGCCAAGCACATGCTATAATGTTCCATTGAGGAATTCCAGAGCGTATGATGATGCATATTCAGCCTGTAACAACAATTCAGCCATTACTACTAGTACTTCCAGACCTCGTTCTGATGCAAGCGTACCCACGAGCTCTAAGCGCGACCGCTCATGGCTTGAGGATACTGAAACTGATAATATCTTTATGTCTAGGGAGCAAATAGATAAGTGCTCCCCATCCAGGAAAGATGGTATTGATGCAATGCATGAAGCACATTTGCGATACTCGTATTGTGCTTTCCTCCAGAACCTCGGAATTCGCCTGGACCTGTAAGCTCCTTTTGGGATTTAATAAATTGTATCTTACTCATTTTTGCACTTTAGCTCAAACAGCCTCTGAAGCTTTTGGGGCTTGCCACTCCTAGTTTTTTCAGGAGGATTGCCTGCATAGGTTGCTTGATCTTACGAATTTGTTATCTGATGGAACTAATAATTATTTGTACCTTCTTGCAGGCCACAGACCACTATTGGAACTGCCATGGTTCTATGTCACCGCTTCTTTGTGAGGCGATCACACGCATGTCATGACAGATTTGTGAGTTCGTTGTTTTATGTACTAAATTTGCTATATTTTTGCTGCTCTAATTTTTCCGCTTCATCATGTCCTATGCCTGGCTAATTATTAGTATTTTAATGCTATTTGCAGTTGGTTGCTACTGCTGCTCTCTTTCTTGCGGCGAAGTCAGAAGAGACTGCACGGCCTCTCAACAATGTTTTGAGGGCCTCATGTGAAATTTTCCACAAGCAGGATCTTGCAGTTTTATCATATTTACTACCTGTGGTTAGCACTTCTGCTTTGTCTTTGTGCATCATTTATCATCGTAATATCCTTCGATTGAAAAATTGTGAATTTTCTTAACATACTTCTAATGCATATGGTGCTTTATGGCAGGACTGGTTTGAGCAGTACCGTGAACGTGTTATTGAAGCTGAGCAGATGATACTGACCACTTTAAATTTTGAACTGAACGTGCAACATCCATATGAACCTCTTACATCCACCCTTGAAAAATTAGGGCTTTCTGAAACAGTATTGGTGAATCTAGCACTGCATCTTGTCAGTGAAGGGTAAGTTGATCAATCTCCATTATGATTGATAATGTGGTTCTGAAATCACAGTTGATTTTTGTTGGAACGTTTTGTTTTATTTTGGCATTATAGTTTCTTTGCTAGAGGTTGTAGATTCCCCTAATAATACTAAATTGTTGATCAACAGGGATTCAAAGTTTCATGGTTATCTGGATGATAAGATTTCGTCTTACTTCTGACTCCTTTTAGATTTACTACTGCTTGTAACTTGTGTAAATATGGTTTTTGCTCTCCCTTGACTGCTCTAGCTACCCATTCTGCCTTGTGATATTGATCTTTTGGATTGCCATATAATTGCAGGGTCTATAGAAGGATTAGCTTGCTCGTCTGTATGATATTTGCTGGCGGTTGATATGCTGTGCATCAAATGTTTTGTTTTACCGTCTGAAGTTAAAACTAGCCATTTCTTGTGGATGCTTTTCCATGCTGACATCTTAATAGTATGGCCATTGACCATAGAAGAATGTCAAAGATGCTCGAGAAGTTTGCCATGATACTTTATGTTTTTCATGCTCAAATGGAACAACTCCATATGGAGTCCTCATGCACTTTGTCTCTTCATGTAGCCTATTCCTCAGGTGTCCATGTAGGATACCAATTATTCGGACAGAGAATTCTATAATGGTTGGTAGTGTGTTCTTGACTGCCTAGTGGTGGGGTATGGGTAGTCCGGTTTTTGGAACTGGTGAATACAGATTTTACAAGTTCTCAACTTCTCATCTTGTTGGAGCAAAGAATTATTCCTAAAATATGATATAAAACAGATTAACATCTTGAAGGATTAGTAACCTTTGTGGTAGGACAGGTCTGCGTAGACTATCGTTTTCTGTGTGATAAGTTGGAAAGATTATCAGGCCTATGTAATTAGTGGTTCTTGTACCATTCTTGTTTATACCTCGATGGCGTTGTAATTGTCCTACCTCTATTACTAAAGGATCCATGATTTGGGGATTGTGGTTTTTGGTTCCCGGACTCCATTTGGAGCTCTCTCTCTCTCTCTAGAATAACCATAACGTTCCTACTTTTCTTCTCACCATCTTGATCTTCTCTCTTTCGCTACAGACACATACTGAATCCGGTTTTTCTAGTTATGCTGCTTGTTATTCACATGTGCATTCCATAGGCACACTTGTAGCAGAATAAGTTACTACCTATATATTACTTTTAGAAGTTTGAGGACCACAGTGGCTTGAAATCTTTTTTATGCTTATCAACTTTGTACTACAAAATTTGTTCACTTTATAAAGTCAAATTTGAAGAGCTCTTTCGAAACTAGTAATTTCAGAGAGAACATACACACACACACAATATATATATATATATATATATATATATATATATATATATATATACACATACATAGAAGAGGCGTAATTTCTGAAAGTTATAGGATGACTTCTCTCTTTTTTTATCGATACTCTTTTGGAACTCATTATGAATTAAACGGCTGTAACATTCAAGTGTTACTTCAAATGAGGAAACTTCATTTCTTGTGCCCTCTTTTTTCTCCTTTTGGCTCGCTAAGTGGATTGGGCAGCATACTTTCGGAGATTGTGGGATGCCTGACTGACAGAGAACGTAGTTGGGGAAAATGCCTACATATTGTTGGATAATGTAGTTGTAGAGGGCACTGATTTTCCAAATGTTAGTGTCTTCTCAACATCTAACAGAGGTTAGCTAATTTTTGGCTGTCCTGTTTAGGTTTTTAGCAATAACTTTCTGGCAGAAAGGGTGACGCCTGTTTATTGTGTCATTCTGTTAGCTCCTTCATGGTAGATATGAGCAAATAAGTTTCTGCTCAAATATACTACAGTATGAGTGAAACTTAGAGTGAGGATCAGAGCTGGCAAGTCCACAAGTTCTATTCTCTTTCCTCTGGGTATGGTAGTGAAAAAGAGTGCAACAGTTGTTGCTTGTGTCTGTCTTGTTTTGGTATATGAGGTACATATATTTTTGGGGTTATACTGCAGCAGCGGAGCTGGAAGTAGGAGTTGATGCTATCTAGATGGGTACAACATGTTTATTATATATTTCATTCTCTCAACATTGTGCAGAAGATTCTTGGATTTTTCCAACTCGGTTGCTGCTTGCGTAGTTGGTAAGAGAAAGTTGCCTCGGCTTGCTCTTTTGGCTTTTCCACATGACTCAACAATTGTTTAATGAATCTTTTAAATGTGTTAGACTTGTATTTTGTTCACTGTTTGGCCAATGTACTTTTTGAAAATTTATGGATCTCATGCTGTTCTGCAAATGTAGCTTACAAAGGACATGCATTGCTGCGGATGGTTTGTTTGCCTATCTATATAGTTTTTGGGGAAGTAAATTTTGTGTAGCATTAGTCATCTCCTATTCTTAGTAGATTTCCTTTTGCAGGCTCCGAAGTTCACTCTGGCTTCAGTTCAAGCCTTACCAGATAGCTGCCGGGGCTGCATATCTAGCATCAAAATTTCTGAACATGGATTTGGCTTCACATCATTCTGTCTGGAAAGAGTTTCAAACACCCCCGAATGTGCTTAGAGGTACACATTTATATCCCCAACATAAAGTAATAGCTGATTATTGGCTGCAGTACTTTGGCAAAAGATTTGATCCTGATTTATTGAGAGCGAGTTTCCTTTTCCGCATCATAGTAAGAACTATTTGGATTGTAGTTTCTCCAATTCTGACTTTAATATAGACATTTTTTAATTGAGGGGTGGTGGATTTTAAACTAAGCTCAAGTTCATGATGATCAGACCAGAGAAGCACCAGGCTCTGATCCATATGGCTTGCACTATTTTGTCCCTCCATCTTTACTGTATAGGTGATATGATTCAATTGAAACTGAACTATCATGTCTAACTAAATAAGGAATTGGGCCAGATTTAATTTCTCTACTTGTGGCTCCTCAAACAGAAAACTAGGTTTGACTTTAGATAATTGCCAATCTTTTTGTATTATTGGCAATTGGTTTTCAATCCCCCGAGTCCCATATTTTAGGAATTTGCATTGTACTTACTGAATTTCACTTTAAATGTTGCGCTTGTTTGTGCAATTCACCTTATACATGCTTTTTGCTGCAGATGTTGCACAACAGTTGATGGAGCTCTTTTAGGAGACATGAGATACGGCAGTTAACATCAGCAAAACATAAAAAGTCAATATCAACAATTTTTTGGCTCTTCACTTGGTAGATGTATTTGTAGATTCTACCATCGTGCATAGGCTTAAAGATCAGTGTATAGATTTCACTGTGGAATTTCTTAGTTTGAAATTATCTGTGGAGTGCTTGTCGTCTATACCTTATAGTAAAGAACTTCATTCTCCGTGTAAATTGTTTTTTTTCTCACTGCAAAAGTGTCCATTAATTATTGAGATCGTTCTCTTTTACCTCAGCCTTTTATGCTTATTCCTAGTTCATAACAAAGAGAACAATTATTATAGATGTATTACGAGCCTGACAAGGGGTAGCATTTGCTTGAGTTTTTGCAAAACCTTTTTTTTAAGGTTTCCATGTTAGTTTGGTGGAAATCTTTTCCGGAACGTGCAATTAATTCGAAAAGCACTTCAGAGCAGCAATTAGTGTTTGATCAAGCTTTTAAAAAACTGCTTCTAAGTGTATTTTTCTTAAAAATGTTTTTCAAGAAAGTTCTTTTGGAGAAAAGCTACTTTTTTTTGTTTTTCCAAAACTGCTTTTGTATTTCCTCAAAAGCACATTTTTTTCTTTCCAAAAGGTTGGCCAAACACTTAAACTTCGAAATAGAATATTTTTTTTAAAAAAAGTGCTTCTAGGATTGAAGAAGTTTGGCCAAACAGACTATTTATAACCATCTTTGGACCGAGTAGCTCTAAAATGCATATTTTACGCATATGTTTCCACTAATCCCTATATTTTGCGAATGCAATGTCCTTTTGATTGTAAAAACTATCATCAGATGGCATAAGCTTTGGGTAATTAGTCAAAAAATACTTCTGAGCAGCGATTAGTGTATGATCAAGCTTTTAAAAATTGCTTCTAAGTGCATTTGCTTGAGTTCTTGCAAAACCTTTTTTTTAAGGTTTCCATGTTAGTTTGGTGGAAATCTTTTCCAGAACGTGCAATTTTTTCAAGTTTTCCAAAAGCCCAAACACAGACGTCATTAAAGTGCTTCAGATTTGATTGAAAATTTATTTGCATACGTTGGCTGGTAGGGAACTCTATGCTAATGACTGAAAAGATTAGAAACAGTATCTCAGGCCTAGACTTCTGGTTAATGCATTCATCAGTAAAGCAGAAATAGAATAGATTTCTTATTGTTTTTGCAGAGGTTTAAAAGGGAGGGGCAGCGTCAAATTAAACTGAAGATATTTTTTAGTCATCTTGCTATCCATTCTCCCAAATGTCATTGGGGACTAGTCTGTTGATGAACTTAATGATAAATTAAAGTTCATTCTGATCGGCTTTTGGAAAGGAAAAAGAAGAAATGAGAGCTGTATTAGTAATTTCATGGAATTGTTGTTCCCACTTTGGGTTTGTGGCATCATTCTGTTATTTGTATCATTTGACCCTAATTATTTATGTAACTGTGCCATCTCTTAATGTAATTCTTATTATGAGTCTGCCCCTCCAAAGGCAAGAGATGATGTTCGTTTCCTATTATTTTCCCTTTTCTTTTATCTATAGATGATAGCAATGCTTTCTAAGTGCTAGAAATTGACTACATCTACACACGAGAGATATTAAATATTTTTTATTCACTAACAAAAAAAAAACTCGTATGGAAACAGAATTTGTAACTGAAAAACCAAAAACAAAAAATTGGAGGTGCTTGGCAAGCGAGGAATGAAGTGACCACAAGACATTTTTCATGTCAATGGCACTACCTACAAACTTGCCAGGGGGATAAATCAACATTGAGATACACACAGCAGGCATCGGTGTTTGTTTTTTTAGAGGGGGAAACACCGGACAAACCACCCCTATCACAAATCTTCTGGCTACAGAAGTGGTTTAGGGTTTAACAATATTTATGTGCAATCTCAACCCCACACCCCCGAGTTAGACTCATCGCCTATCCAAGCGCCATTTAAAAGGGAAAGCTAACTACTGATGTTCGGTGTGGGACTATGTAATCGGTGGACCCTCCTTTCTATGGGCAGCTGTGCTTCAGAAAGGAAAGAGAGCATTTAATGGGACCTAAGGTCTTAGGTGGTTCGGGATTCCAAAAATACGAAACTTTTCTCTCCAAAAGCATAGAGTTATTTCTCCTCTCTCAAAACTAACAGCTACCTAACAAGTGACAAGGCAAAATCTGATCAGCCTTTTGGGACTTCTCAGTAAAAGGGAATGGCTGTTAGCACTTTCAATAGAGCTTTAAGTCAAATAAAAACCACTCTCAATTTACATATTGTAATGTTTAATTGAATACAGTAATATGATTTAACTGTTGTACACTCAGAAGATCAGTGGTGGAGCGACATGTACTCAAAAGGTGTTACCAACTACATCCTTTCGTTGAAAAATTATATGCTCTATATCTATATATATACTAGCTTTAGTGTACATGCGTTCCGCGTGTTTTTACATCTTTTAATAAAAAATGTATAAAATTTAGAATAAGAATGAATTATGTATAATAATAATAATTGACATCGAGATAATATTAATAGAATTTCCCATAATATCTAGCATTGAATGTATATTTCTACTGATATATTTACTTCTCATAATTGTATAAATATTTACCACTAATAAATGTATTCTAATATAATTTAAATGATTAATTGTATTTAAGCAAAAAAGAAAAAGTAGACAAACCTAACGTGTACTTTGTGCATATGGAGAAGTTTACCATAAATTGATATAATTCCATTATTCTTTTATTAATTGAAAAGATCATAAAATTTAGAAAATGTTAAGGACTTCTTACCTAATTCAAATAAGTTTTGATTTAGTAACAAATACTGGCTTGATTTTAAGGTTCTAAATATTACGAAAGCATTTTAAATTACAATTTTATCCAATGTAAAACTGATATTTTAAAGGGTAAAAAAGGCGAACGATATTTCGCTAAGAATCTTCGTGCTTTTAATATATACTAATGTCTATACTCGCGCGTTGCACGAAAATTAAGTCAAACCTGTAATCGCATATGTTTTTAAATAATAACATTTGCCAGAGTAATAAAATGGATCTTTTCAAAATTATATTTAAAGTCAGACCAAAGGATCACCATTAAAATAGTTACATGTAATTTTTAGCTACATTACCTTTATTTATTAAAAGATACAAAAATGTTATTGACCTAAAATAGGAAGATTTGAAAGCTATGATAGTTCAACAAAAAAGATAATAATTCAAAGTTGGATAAAATTGTATGTGCTATTTAACATTTTATTCAATGTTGAGGACGTCGACTTCAGCTAAAATTTATTATTTGACAATAATTGTGTAATTAGAATTGTGAAGTTATACACTAAACTTTTCCCTAGGCCAACGTGAGTCGTTGTAAATTCCCGTGAAATTTTGTAATTAGTTCGGGTTAATTTCGGACTTAATGATATAATTTAATTAAACTCCAGTTACATTAAATTATTGGAGTGGAACAAGTTGTTGGGATGCTCGGGAATAATTATTTAATTTATGGTTGAGTGCTGGATTTATGGAAATTTAAATGGACCATTAGGAGCACTTGGGATATATTAAGCTTCAAAGGAATGAATATTAGATAATATGAATGGAAATGAGTGAAAATAAAACAAAGAAATCAAGCTTGCAACAAAGGAGGGTTAAAAATGAATTGGAAAATTATGGGATGTCATGAAATAAGGGGACAAAGGAATACAAAGTCCAAGACTAGTAAATTGGCAACCAAAGAATAAAGTTTATATGTCTTGATTTTGAAGCTGCCAAAATTTGAGGCAGTGAACTTGTCCCATAGCGCCAAAGCTGGCGTCCTCACAAGTTGAAGGATCTGGGACGCACACGACGAAGCATGCCACGCATCCCATGCGACATCCGGATTCTAAAGCCTTTTTAAAGGCAATTACGGGGGAGGATTGCCTTTTTATTTTGGGCATTCTTTTTGAAGACTTAGTAAGAGAAAGGAGTCTCATACCATTAATGCATCTTCAAGGTGAGAATTAAATGTATTTTCTTGGTAGATTTGGTTCATTTATTACATCTCTTAACCCTCCAACATCATGAGATTCATAGATTTTTGAAGCAAATCTCAAGCACACTTCAAGAACTCAAATCTTGAAAATTCTAGGGTTTGACAAAGAGGTAATCTCTTCACTCCAAACTTATGTATTATACTCCATGGACGTAGTAGAGTATATTTATGAAGATAAAATTGTATTTAAACATCTATTTATGAAACCCTAGAAGAGTTGGTTGGTAGGGATGATAAATAGTGTTGAGTCTTGTTTGAATAGTGTTATTTTGAGCTTCTAGTAGAACGACTAGATCCTGTGATATGTTTAATAAAGGATTTGGAGTTAAAATTCAAGGGTTGACCTTCAAATGATGAAATGAGGATTTTTGCTAAACTTAGGAAATTGGATTAAAGTGTTAAACACTTAGTTGGCTTAGTTGGTATTGTTGTGACGCGTTATTGAATTATGTGAGTTCGTATATGTAGATTGTGATTCGTTGGCATTGTTGGACCATTTGGGGTGAGGTTGGAAGCAATTTGAGGTACGTTGAAACTTATTACCCTCGGAGCTTTTCTTCAGACTCATATCGAAACTCGATTAAATTGGATTTTCCAAAGGTGAGTCCTAGCTTGTGGGGACGAGGGAGATGGGATTGTACCATTTCTTGCATCATAAAAGATTTAAGTGCTATGAATATTATTTTCTTGAAATTTTATTCAAATTTTAAAACTAAATAAATGAGGAATAGCACTTGTAGTATTTTTTCTGAAATGAAAAATACATGAGTTGTGAAATATCTTGGATTTAACTATTCTCAAATAGTCGTTTTGGCTGTGAATATCATCATTGATAAATGTAAAGATTTTGGGAGTTACTTAAGTTCACCAAGATTGACCTTGGACACTTTTCCTCATTAGGTCATGAAACTACACGTGCCGGTGTAGGCGTAGAACCTACCTTACAGTTGGGAACTACGGCAGAGTACTTCCCACTTGGGGGTATATTGTGCTACTTTATTAGCACGGCCGAGTCGATTCGTGCGGCACAACGATGAGACGACCTGAGCAAGTAGGGTATATGATACTTGCCGCTAGGTACATAACCTAGTTGACTTTCTTCCGTGTCGGTGATGGTATAATGCTCCCGGTAAATGAAAAATCTAACATGATTTGCAAAGATTACTGCTAAACGAAGACTTTGACATATGTTTTTACCATATTATTATATTTTATTTTCTAAATCATTAATTGATATGAAG